TTTCAAAAACAGATTCTGCAAGGCAAAGAAACTATCAAATAAAGTGACAGCCTACAGAATGGGACAAAATATTTGCTAGCTACTCTTTCCACAGAGGATTAATATCCAAAATATACAAAGCATGCAAAGAAAAAATACTAGAAAGAAATTGCCCAATCATTAAATGGGCAAATGAACAGACACTTCGCAAAGAAGTACAAATGGCCAATTAGTATATAAAAAAAAAAGTTTTAACATCCCTAGCCATCAGGGCAATGCAAATCAAAACTACACTAAGATTTCATTTCACCCCAGTCAGCATGGCAATTATCAAGAATCAAAAAAAAAAAAAAAAAACCAAACAACAGTACTGGTGGGGATAAGAGGAGGAAGGCTGTCCTACACTGTTGGTAGTAATGTAAATTTGTCTAGCCATTTTGGAAATAAACATGCATTTTCCTAAAAAAAAAAAAAAAAAAAACCCTTAAAGATAGAGGTACTACTTTATTTAGTTACACCACTACTCTGTATATACCCAAAGAGTTAAAGCCAGCACACTACAAAGATGTCTGAATGCTCATATTCATTGCAATGCCCTTCAAAATAGCTAAGCATGGAAACAGTACAGGGCCCCATCAACAGATAAACAAACAAATAAAATGTGGTACTATATGCAACAATAAAATATTATTTGGTCATAAAGAATAAAATCATGTCAGTTGCAGAAAAATGGATGCAACTAAAGACCATCATATAAAGTGAAATAATCCAGTCTCAGAAAGTCAAGTGCCACATTTTTTTTTCTCATATGAGAAATCTAGGGGAAGAAAGAATGAAAGTGAGAGCATGAGGGAGATGGAGAGGGAAAGGGAGAGAGTAAAAAAGGAACAGAGATACACAGACAGAGACACACAGACAGAGACAGAACACAGAATAACAAAAGAAGAGTAAGGGATGAGGAGGAAAAAAGGGTAAGGGTAACTGGTCGGAAATTATCAAAGTATGCTACCTACACATATAAACATGCCAAAATGAAATCATTAGTCTATACTTCATACTTAATAAAAAATGTGGGAGAAAGCCCTATGTTACGGAATGTGAGAATAATTTCTTTTTATCTAAGAAACATTTTATCAAATTTAACATTTCTGAAACTAACTTATAACTCATAATTGATGTGTACAAGTAATACAGTTGTATTTTTTATCTGCCCAACAAAAGTTCTTATTAAATCGTAAGTCTACCACCATTTTGATAAAAACTTATATAACTATAAGCAACAGTGAATGATGCTGGTTTTGGAAACTGTGGCTTTCCAGAACTTTCCCTTGTGCTTTTCATACGTAAATATACATATGGTTAAGGCACTCTTTTATTTTCTCTCATTGCTAGGACAAAACATTTGACACCCAAAATTAAAGGAGGAAAGGTTTATTTAAGCTTAGTTTCCAGACATTTCAGTCCATAAACAGCTGGCTCCAAGGGAGGGTGGTGTGGCAGAAGGGCAACGGTTCATGGTAGTAGAAGACAGCGAAAGCAACAAGGGCAAAAGAGGGCAGAAAGGGAAGACCAAATCTCATCTCCTCCCTCATACTGCATCAGGCTACCCTGGGCAGATGCAACACTCACACCACACTGCCAATCCTAGCACTAGACAATGGACCAATCACAAACCCTACAGATTCACTCACTTCCAAAAAGCCCCCCCCCCCCACATGAGGCTTTTGGGAGACATCCAGATACAAACCATAACAGGCACTGCCTGTTTATATTGTCTCCTTCCCCTTCCCTTTGTAGTCTACAAGACCTTGTTCTTGCCAAATTGCTGTTCTGCCAACCATGATGCACATAAAGGCTGTAAGTCTGATTTTATTAAGAGACTGATGTATTTATGCGGTACTAATAGAATATAAAAATGGAAACACTTTACTATTTCAAAATTCTCTGTGAGTTACAGAAGTATCTACAATACAAGCTAAAACTCAGTCTTAAAGGGTAAGGAGAAATTTTTTGGGAGAGCAAACACTTCTAGAAAAAAGATTATAGTACTACTAATTGTATATCCCTTATCTGAAATGCTGAGACCAGAAGTGTTTCAGATTTCTGGATGTTTTGGATTTGGGAATATTTATTTCACCAGCTAACTGCTATATTCCCAACCCAAAAAATCATATTGTTGCCCAGTTTTAGATTTTGAAGGATTTCAAATTTTTTAGGGATGATCAAGGTGTAAATGTTTAGATTAAGTATACCCAATCATGCTAATTCAAATATCCTTATCTGGAATGTGGTAACTCTACTCAACAGTTTCAATTCTTTCCAAACAGGGAAGTCCTCCACTTTAAAATCTTTCCAGATTCCTCCAAAGAGCTACTCACTTCCTCTTCTGTGATAGTCTGGTATCCACCATTCTCTTAAAATCACAAGCAAAGAAAATCAGAGCCAGAGGTTGAATTCAAATTAGTTATAACCCAAAGGCCCAATCAGAATATTTAGTATATTTTTAAATTCTTTTTATTTCAAAGAATAAAATAAAACAGAAAAAAGCAAATCAGAATAGCAACAATACAAGCAACACAGGACTTCACAACAAGAAAACAGGAAATCAACAGTGGTTACCATAATGTGTCTTGTTTTCTTTGGAATAGTTGTGCATACCTTTACACAAGATAATCAAACAAAACAAAATAGTATAAAACCAATAAAAAAAGAAAGCATTATGGGACTTCAAAATAAGACAATAAGAAATCAACAATGGCTACCATAATATCTCTTGTTCTCTTCAAAATTGCTGTCCATACCCTCATATACAATGAAATCAAATAATAGAAAACAGACTAAAACCAATCAAAACAAAAGAATGAAAGCATTACAGGACTTCAAGACCAGATACAGGAAATAAAACAATGCTTAATATAATGTCTCGGTTTCTTCAAAACAGCTGTTCATATCATCACACATAATAAAATCAAACAGAACAAAACCAATTAAACAAAAGAATGAAAGCATTACAGGACTTCAAAACAAGGTAACAGGAAACCAACCATGATAAACATAATACATCCCATTATGTTCAAAATAGCTGCCCATACCATTAGACACAGTAAATTCTAACAAAACAAGACAAAACAGAACCAACCCTAACAAAATTGTGAAAATATTAGAAGAGTTCAAGACAAAACAATAAGAAATTAACAGTAGTTACCACCTTCTCCTCCTAGGTGTTTCCTCCCATATCACTTTCACACTGTCTGTTTTTGGATCCCACAAACTCCTTCTGTGTGAGTTCAAAATGTTTCGCCCATGCAAAAGACCTGTAGTTGCATCCATTTACCTACAAGAGCCTTAAGATTATCCTATTTTATAGCTGGGTAGCTTTACATCATACAAAAATCTTATGTTTCTTATCCATTCTCCAGTTGATGAGCAAGCTAGGCTTGCTTTTTTCTGATCTCTCGTCCCATGGAACAATTATTTTCTCCCCATTTTTAATCTATGAATTTCTTTTCAAGTTACATGTGTTTCTTGCATACAGTATATTGACAGATTGTGTTTCTTGATCCACTGTTTTCTTTTTATTGCTGAACTGAGGCCATCTACATTAATGGTTACAATCACCATACACTGGTTCATCTCTGCCATGCTATCCTTCTGCTGTTGGCCCTTCACTTCTCCCCTTCATTCAATGGCCTGTGTTATTTGGTAATGGTCCACTGCTGTTGTTCCGGGAACCATGGTCATTTCTCTCTCTCTAGATTATCCTTTAGCTCTCTGTAGTGTTGGTTTGGTGTCATGAATTCCTTCAGTTGTTCTTTTATCATGGAACTCTAATTTTTTTCATCAATTCTAAAAGATAGTTTGGCAGGGTACATCAATCTGGGTTGGAAGTTGTTTTCTTTCAGATATGAAACACTTCAGTCCAAATTCTTCTTGACTCGATGGTTTGTGTTGACAAGTCTGCCATGATTCTGATTGGTTTTCCTCTATAGGTGATAATTATTTTCTCTAACAGCTTTTAATACTCTGTTCTTATGCTGAATTTCTGGGATCTTGATGATTATATGTCTGAGTATAGATTTATTTTGGTTATGGCTAATAAAGTTCTATATGCCTTACTTATCTATATAACAGATCTTTTTCCTATGTTAGAGAAGTTTTCTGCTATTACTTCTATAGTCTTTTTATTTCATTTGTGTTGACTTCTGCTTCTTCATTGATACTTACCACTTAATTTATTTTTGCATCATCTTGCAGCCACTGAATTGTTATATCCTGGTTCCTTGTTATTTTTAAGAGATCTTTCCTTTTATAATCACCAGCTGCTACCTTCTCTTCAAGTCTAAAATTCTATCTTCAGTCTCTTTCAAGCAGTTCTGCCAGCTTTCAATTGACTTTTTAATTTCCTCAATATCATTTTGAATCTGTTTCACGCATAATTCTTTTCTACATTGTTCATTCAAGGTTTCCATCATTTTCCTATGCTCCTCTTTTTTTACCTAAGTTTTCTTTAGGTATGTTGAGCAATTCTTACATTATGTTTGTGATTTCTTCTTTTACCTGACACGTTATTTCTGATTTAATTACTTTTACAGTCTCATGAAGTTTTTTGTTTTTTGTTTTTTGTTTTTTTTTTTTTTACTTCAGTTGTTATCCTCTTAGACATTTCAGTAATATGACTTCCGTTTGTGTTGGCTAGCCACAAATAAATACTTACAGATTCTTTCCACAACAGTCCACCCTTGCCTGAAAACAATTCCTTTCAGTCTTTAAATATTAATTATCTTTTGGGTGCCAACATCACTCTCAGTAGTGCAAAGACAAAACCAAACATATCTAGGAGAGTACTTGCGTAAGGGATCCATAAAATTTTTTTCAAATAAAACTAATAAATATGTGCAACCCAAAGGAGATATAAAAATATGTTAAACTCTGGAAAATAGCAGTAATTAAGAGTAAAGCATGTAGAACCCATAAGAAAACAAATGTCATTAGAAAGAGAGGCAGCAGCAGATTATACATACCATGCTACTAAATTTGGTTCTTATAATTTCAAGATGGAGTAGATGTTCAGATGATTTTGCTTGCAGGTGTGGCTGCCAATGGTATAAGCAGCTTCCTCTGCCATTCCCTTCTGCCATGACATACTTGCCTTGTAGCTAGCCAATCATGGACTGAAACCATGAACAAATTAATTCTCTCCTCCTTTACGTTGTATCGACTTTTGTGTCCCAGTGACTGGAAAGTAGTTATACATTCAGTTTAAAGCCTAACAATAATGACTAGCTATAAAATCCTGGAAAAATTATTTCATTTTCTTTTAGTCTTAATTTCCTCACCTACAAAACACTATCAAATTCAACTCATTCTTGTTGTGAGAGTCAATTCAAGTAAAGCATTCAGCATAATACATGTTATTTAATACAACTTTAACAGAGGTTCATTATTACTGTTATTATTAAAGAAAAGTGAAGACCTTCGTTTTCTACAGGTATTGCAACAGACATTGAAAAGATGTAATTAACAGAAGAATCAAAACTGGGCATATTGTGATGAGTAAAGCTTTTTGATAAGCAAATGAAGGCATATTAAGAATAAAAACATGAGGGAGAAAAAAGAAAAAGTAGAAGCAGGGAAAAGGACAAAATAATACAAAATAAGAAAATAATGTGTTTACAACATGGAAAACAGCATTGTACTTAAAGGAAATTTTACACTTTCCTAATGAAAGATCTTATATTTCTATCACCATCACTCTTTATTTTTTCTTCACTTTTGTTAAGGCCAGTTGGTATGGACTGAAGTACATCTCCCTAAATTCCTATTAAGTTATAATCACAACACATCAGAATATGAACTGTATTTGGAGACAGAAACTTTAAATGATAATTAAGGTAGAATGAGAACATATTAGTAGGCCCTAATCCAGTGTAACTAATGTTCTTATAAGATACTAGGACACAGACCTGAGGAAGAACTATGTGAAGACAAAGGAAGAATATAGTCATCTGCAAGTCAAAGACAGATGCTTATAGGAAAACAACCCCACAGATATCTCCATGATAGATTTCTACCTACCAGAATTGTTAGAAAAGAAGCTTCTGGTATTTAAGTTACCCAATCTGTAATATTTACTATACTAACCCTAATAAACCAGTGAAACACAAGAGACTCTGCCTAATATGACACTCTGCCTAATATGACTTCCAGACTACAATTTCAGAGATGAGAAATTGTCTTACAATATGTTAACATAAAAACTAAATAATCGAGATTAAAACAGAATCTGCTCTAGACATGAGTTTCCATATCTGAAATTTAGAACTTTGAAAATTTATCAAATATTTACATTCCAGATTTCTACTATTTAGTTCAGAGGTTTGTTTAAAATATGGTGTCTTAATAACTAATGCCCAAAGAAGCAATCTAAGTAAGATGTTCTAATGCAACATATTTACTTATAAGTCAGGAAATACATGGATTTCTATAAAAGTGTACTATCACTTATTGTTTCATAGGCTACCAGAAGCTTTTATTCCATTAAGAAACACATTCTAGCAATTAATGCAAATAAGTTGAAAATGGTACCTCCATCCAATCCTAAAACAAACTCCTACTTTTATTTCAATAATGGTTTCAACTATGTAGTAACAGTTACAACTTGCTGACAATAAAGTACATTTTAATTTGTTGCTGTATTGATTTTCATGAATTATTTAGGCAATTTTTACCACAGCAGGGAGAACAAATTTTTCCCCAATGATATGCGGTTTTTAAATTATGCTATAAAGTCAATGCCATTACTAAGGATGAGGTTTACTGGCATATAAAAGGATAACCCAAGGTATGAGCAGCTTGAGCAATGCAAAAATTATATATTTGTAATACAACAATATATATATGCAACTATGCACACAGAGAAAAAAGTGCATACTAGAATATTTATTCATTTCTATAATAATTGTTTCATTTACATTAAAAATCTAACAAATTTCAAAAAGTCCCATTCAGAATAATATTGTACAGTAAAAATATAATTTAAATCACAGATGTAACCCACATAGTAATTTTTTCAGTTAGCCATATTAAAGGAAAAATATTAAAGATCACAAGTGAACTAATTTAATCCAGTATAACCAATATCCAAAATATCATCTTAACATGTATTAAATTTTAGTATTTTGCATTTTTATACATACTCTTTGAAGTCAGAAGGCATATTATATGCCATTAGTCACATGCAGCCAGGGATTGCCACACAAGACTACCCAGTTCTTGATATATCTAGCTATTTTTCAAAACCCCCCTCAAGATTCATGACCTTTATGAAGCATTTCTCTGACGCCTTCCATATTTCTGTTACAGAATTTACATGTTTATTTGTCAATATTTGTCAATTCTATAGTACTATAAACTCTGGGAAAAGGTTTTGTCCTAATCATTGTATTCTAAGACTCCAGCCTCACACACAGTAAGCTCGTCAACAAGTATGTGGATAAAATTGGGAAATGATAGTCCAGATTAGACTGGAGTTACATTGAAAATGAATATATATATACTCAAAGCCAACAGGCTGATATTTAAGTGGGAAACCAAAAGAAAATAGACAAGAATTGAATAATCTGCATTAAAGATAGTAATATACCCTGAATATTTGAAAAAAAAAAGTAGAAAATTATACAATAACTTACTCAGTATATGTTGAACATTAACATTTAACCATATATTAATAATAATACTAAGCGCAAATTTTGTAACTCTTCTGCCTTTTCTTCAAAAATAACCACTTTTATGGCATCCCTTTTAACAACTAATAACATACACCAGTTTAATTATTAAATTGTATTTCTATAAAGTATCTTTCCATTAATACACCTTCAGTTTTTTACATATAATATTAATATTACATGTAATTTTTACATGTAAAAATTACATGTAATATTAATGCTTTCAAACACAAAATGCATTGATATATTGATCTATGACACCACTTTTTTATGAGAATTACAAGTCTCTTGTAAATATCTACAATCCATGTTTTCTTAGGTCATCTTCAATTTATTTCAGAATTTGGCAGCATAATTTTTCAGTGATATTGGGTTCAGCTGTCATTCTGAATGATAGTATGTCATGCATTAACTGAAATATACTAGTTTATCATTCAGAGTACATACAAGTAACCAGGTTGAACATTATTTCTAGTATATATCAATTTATCTTTTTTAATTAAAAAGTCAGAAAATTTCACTGGAGTTGATTTACTCAATGTACTCCCAATTGCATTCCAGATTTCTAATATTTAGTTTAGAGTTTAAAATATGGCGTCTTAATAACTAATGCCCAAAGTAGCAATCTAAGTAAGATGTTCTAATGCAACATATTTACTTATAAGTCAAAAGTATTTCATCCCAGAAATACTTTTGATAATAAGTCCTAGACAAAAAAATACAAAATGATAATAGTTCAGTTTGAGAATCATTCAGGAAATCTTGTTGAACTGTGACCAAGTAGTATAGTGAACATCTATACAGTATTAATGAGGAAAAACTGGGTCATATTTCTATTTGAATCTAAACTCTGTCTCAGTGTTTACAAGCATGTACAAACAATACATGCCAATAACAAGCCATCTATTAGGGCCTGTTATTGGCCACGTGGATAACTATAATAACAACAGCAATGAAATAAGCATTTGAATAGCTGAATACCTGGGGGAGGGGGACCCATAGAAATCAGACATTAGGACATTTTATTCATCAGAACAAATACTGCAAATAATTTAAAATGCAAAGACACACTAAAAATGAATCACTAAGTCGCCTGATATATATAGTACTATTTGACCTGGCTTCTAACATATTTTGTAATATACTTTCAATGTTATAAAGTAAGTAAATGAAAATCTATGTTTGAAGAAAGGAAACATCACTGGAAGCTGAGGCAAGAGATCACTGATTTCAAGATTTGAAGACCAGGCAAGTCAACACAGCAACACTCCCTTAAAAGAAAAAAAGGAAACAGGACAGAAAGAAGAGGGGAGGTAGAGGTGGGAATGGAGAATAGAGGAAAGAGAAAGGGAGGGAAGGAAGGAGGGCAGGCCGACAAGCAGGCAGGCAGGTGGCAGGCCTGCAGAAAAGAGATGATGAGGGGTTAGAGTTCCTTACACAGAAAAGCTAAAAACCAAGTTATCTTGCCACATAGAGTCAAACCAACTGGAATTTTCTTCCAGGTTTTAGCAAACCATTTACTCTATTTTGATAAAACTTTTACAATTCCTACAAATAACTTTATGCTACCAAATTAGAAATAATTCCCAACATCCTCACTTTCATTCCTTCTCTTTCTTATCACAAATTCTGAAAATTCTCACCCTACTCTTAAATGCAACAAATAGGTAAACAATAATAAAAACAATTCCAATCTTTCCAAGCCCCAAACTTACAACTGTGCATTTTAATTACAATTTTACTGACACTGTCACACCCTTATCATGATCATCTCTTCAAATCTTGACCAACTTGAGAAAAATATTAGTGTTCTTCAAGTGCTGACTATGTACTAAACCTATCACCAGTACATGAATTTCCTGGGTACAAGAGACTGTCCCCATTGTCAGTTCCCCCAAGCCCAGTTTAAAAATCTGAACCTGCCATTCGTGCTTATTGAGGCGTAATCTCTAATTTCATTACAAGAATAAATCTTTTTCTGCTCCAAAGATAAGCAGTAACTGACTACATATATGATAAATTTGTCATGAATATGGATTTATCTCATGAAGCCTCTATTACAAGTCCTCATAACTGAACTTAGCTATGGACTAATATTATTTATTAAAGGAAATATAATGTGAGACATATTTAAAATTTTAATAACACATTAAAGAAAAAGTAACACGTAAAATAACTCGAGATAATACATGCAAAATACTACTATTTCAATATGTAATAATACAAAAACTATTAATACGACATTTTGGTAACATTCATCATAGGGAATTTGTATGTGTAATGATATACCTTGCTGCTGCTTGTTTTTATCCCATTTCCCTCCCCTTGCTTCAATCCATCTTCTTTTTTATTTACAAAAGCTTTGTTTCTATTTTTCCTTTCATTTCTTGTTGTCCCTTCTTTTCTCCCCCTTTTCCCCTCCTTTGTTCCGCTTCCCACTTTAACATTTTCTTCCCTTTTCCCAGTATGTATTATAAATTTTGGTCCTTATTTGCAGCTTTAGTTTCTCACACCACACAGTATTTGAACATGTATGTCTGATTTATTTCACTTAATTCTGACTTGTCCTGCTGAGTCCATTTGAAAGGACTGTCATGCCGATCTAATTGCTTTAGGGTTTGTAATATAGACAGAGAAAGGAAAATGGTATTTAGAATATAGAGAGTTAGGACAGAATGTGGAATTTTACGAAGTTCCACCTCATTCATCAGATAAGGCACCATGTAACATGTAGAAATTTCTGCAAAGTCAGAATGTCCATGAGAAACAAATATTCCAGAATTATTTCAGAAAGTGCTAAGAATAATGGGATAAGTCTGTTTAACTTTGGGGGAGGGGGGATTAATGGCAATGTATCTTTTACTAACAAATTACTTTTTAATTTAAACATTCAGCATATTTTTATCAAATCTCCTGCTGATTTGAGTCAATAGTTCAGAAATCTCAGTGACTAAAAATGAGATAGCCTGTACTGAGAGTATATAGATTTTTCTATCTCCCCTAAGCAAACTTGAAAAGACTAAAGCAACAAAAGTTAAAAAACAAAAATTAAAACCAGTCAATTAACGTCAATAAATACCATTTACAAATTAAAATATCATTTCTGGAAGAAGAAATAAAGTTGATATCACTTATAATAGTTTATAGTTAGCAATAAAGGAAATAACCATGAAATGACTCATGATTTTGTGCCCTTACCCAAGTGACCCCATGTAGTGAAAGCCTTGTATTACTGCCCTTTTTAACCAAGGAAACAATTACTTGTTCTTCAAAATCCCGTTCACAAGTCACTACCTATTATGGCTTATATTTAAATGTCCCCTCAAAGCCACATGTGGTCATAGACGTGATTTTTTTCAGAAGTGGCTGAGTCTAACGTGTGTTATTACTAAATCAGTCCACTGACTGGATTAGAATCCTGGTAGTCTAGACAGTACATAAAGGGGCAAAAAGAAGCTTTCCAAGTCACTTGTTAGTTCCCTTGCTTGCTTTTGTGTCTTCTGCCTGTCATTAACTGTTTCTCCTCTGCAATACTCTGCCATGCCAACTTGCCTTGGAGCCATCCAACTATGCACTGAAAGCTCTGCAAAATGTGAGCCAAATAAACCTTTCCTCTCTTAACTTATAGGTGTTGGGCCTTTGGTCTCAGGAATGAGAAAAGTAACAAAGACACTACCCAACAAAGCCTTCCCAGACTCCTACAAGCAACAATCTCCACAGCATTAATTTCTCCATGGCATGTTGTTTGTATTTCCACAATATTACCTCATATCACTATAAATTATCTGTTTATTTTTCTATTCCCTGTGCTGAACTCTGAGTTATTAGAAAACAGAGATTATGAAATTCTTTTAATACAGCCAGTCAGTATCTTGACTCTGGCAAAAGAATACTAGGTTACGTTATATAGTACAGTAAATTATTTAAATCAACACTTCATTCTGATACTGCTCAAAAAAACAACCTGCTTCTACATTCACGTTATAAAACAGAAACCTAAATAAGCTGAATCAAAGTAGAACTACAGTCACCAAGGTAAGAATGAAAAGATGCTGTACTGAGTCAGATCAGGGAACTTCTAGGTGCCAATTTCTAGTCTGCAAAAAATTGTAGGATCTTAATGCTGGGCTCTCAATTTCCTCACTTATACAAATGATATACTGTTCCTGAGGTCTGCAGACACTATGAATCTTTATTCTCAAATATTCAGAAAACTTTTAAACGTGAACCACGCATGTATA